TTGGGGTTATGTCGTCGGCGGCGTTAAATGTCTGTAAAATCGACCGATTTAACTTTATTATGTGAAACGAAGTGCTATTATGAATGAATATGTAGTTGTGGATGTGTTTGTGTACTTCACTGTGAATAAAATAGGCCTACGTTCTTTGGCCCATAGCCCAAGCTATGGCCAACACATAGGCCTCGGAGTAGGCTATTGTGGTTAAAAATCAGGTAAGTTCTGGTGTTCATTTATTCGTAGTACGTTTTTACCCCCCTTAAAATTTGGCACCTTACAAACTGTGTAGCTACAATAAAAATGAACTTTCAAGAAAAACGTTAGTTTGTAAAGTAGGCTAATAGCGATTTTGGTTGATAACAACTAAACAAGGCCTCAAGGAAAGTAGTAAAGTATAAGTATACACAGTTCTTCAATACATATACAAATTTAATCCAGTAAAACCCCAATCAACTGAACCATGTTCAACCAAAATCCAGGTTGTATAAAATCATTTATCATGTTGGAATGGCCTCTAGGTCGTCTGAATTAACGTACATAGTGGTTTATATTAGCTTGTTACTATCCAAACAATCCTTTGTAGTGTGTTATGACTACAGCTGTTTCGTGTTTCGGATGGAGCACATTATCAGGTCTCAAAATGTCAAGTAGTCATTAAATATTCCTCTTGGTGGAGTTTGTCAAAAGTTTAATAGTACATAAATAAAACACATAACACAAAAACACGATGTTTCGTTTTGTGTTTTTGTGTTATGTGTCGTGTTATTGGACAGTAACAAGGTAATATAAACCACTATACGTAAAATCATTATACAAAATTCAAATCAATTGGAAAATTGGCTAGGCAACGAGCATTGTCCGTCGATGTAGAAGATAGTTGGCTTAGTTTAGTTAAGGCGAAAATACCCCCGCCGCAGCAAACCTGCAGACTAAGCGAATTTCCATTTGCCTGATTGGATTTTCAATTAAATCTATTTAAATAACATTATGTTTACAAGTAACTAGGTTTGCTACTACTGGGAGGGTAATACAGTGGGGTTTTAGTGGAATATCAATAGCTTAGTATAAAATAATTTAATTTGCCAAGTTCGATCATAATATGTCCGTAAACAAGCAAATTACAACAGTTTACTTATTCTCCATAAGAATAACATAGTAATTATAAATTTAAGATTTTTGAATTTTTCCGTTACCAATAACCGTAAAAAACCCTTCAATTACTAAGTTATCATACACCTTCAACCGAAATTTCATCAAAACTGACAAAAATTACTCAAGTTATCGCGTTATACACAAATAAAAATTTGAACGAATAGTGTTTTTGGCCTCTGGGGACATAAAAAAAAAACTTAATCGGTCCCGTGCCCAGGTCTTACCATGAGACCTACGGTAATAGCGACTTCCCTATAGGGAAATTCGCTAAACAACAGGCATCTCTCTTAACAAGATAGAGATAAGGTTCAGAAAACAACAGTTTGAAGTTCATTTTTAAAACGTTTTTATTAGCTCGCTTTCTTGTCCGGTACAAATTTTGCAATCAATTTTATACTAACTTCCCGATGAGCTAGAGACTTGAAACTTGAAATATAGCTCACAAATGGAAGACAATGCAATATTATATCATTTAATTTTCATATTTCCCTTGGGCTACGCCCCATGGGCTTGATTTTATTAGCTCGCTTTTTTGAAAGTTCTTTTTCTCAGTTTATTTTCAATGTCTCGGTTGAACGTATTTCATCCAACGTGAAGCCGCCAAGGACACCGCATCACTATTTTGAACTTTACGTCTACGTCACGATACAGTCCACACTCCTCTCATTCCAAGTGTTCAACATCGTCATCATTCTGCTAGTTCCGCTCTGCATTCATCACTTCGACACTTCATTTCGTCTACAACAACTTCAGCTTCAAACGTCATGAAGGAAAAGAAAAGTAAGGTTATGTTTGTACTTCTTCGAAGACAATGAAGACAACTCATCGCATCTCATCGTAAGTTATCAATATCAACACTGAAATAATAAAGAAACCCTGATTTTATTCCTCAGTCGTCCTTATCCTCAAATTACTCCATCCATTTACAATATCTCGACTACTTACTTAACTCATTGAACAATCTAGGCCTAACTTTCAAAATGAGATTTTCCACATTTTCCAATAGATGCAAATTGCAATTAAATAAATTAAATACCATCAGTGAGTATATTCAATCTTGTCCATCAGAAATAACAGAAGCTCAAACTGCTAAACTTAACCTTTATTTGCACGAAGCTAAAACAATTTCTGCCAATTTTGAAGCTAACCTAGATAAGCTTCTTGATGTTGATGACGATACTAACGTGTTTTCTGACAATGAAGAAGCTATTTTAAAGCTCCAGAACGACATATCAGAACTCTCAATAAACATTTAAACCGAAATTTCTCTTTTAATTCAGAACTTTAATGATGAACACTTGTCAAATAACTCTGTAGCATCAAACCCAACCTCTAGGCCTACTCATAGCGTTGTAAAATTGCCCAAGCTAGAACTGAAGTCCTTCAATGGTGACACTAAAACATGGATATCCTTCATTAACCTTTTTGATACTACTATCCACAACAATAGTAGCTTACCCCTTGTTGAAAAACACCATTATTTGATAAGTTCACTTGAAGGCGAAGCCTTACACCTAATCAAATCCCTACCGATCTCGTCTGGCAACTATACAGTAGCCTATAATGCTTTACGGGAAAGATACCACTCGAAGCGTAGGATAATCTCTGTCCACCTCAGTAAAATTGTCGATTTGCCCAATATAACTGACAAATCTATCAAAAACCTCAGATCATTTTTAAATGAGTTTAATGAAAACGAACAAGCTCTTAGTGTTCTTGACTATAATATCATGGAAGACAACTACCTACTAAGTATGTTGATCTTACAAAAAATGAATTCCAGCCTCTGACAAGTTTTCGAATCAAAACGCATAAATTATTCTGATTTTCCTCAAGCAAGTGAAATAATAAAATTTCTTAAAGACTTTTGTAACAACAGTGAAGATGCCTCTCTCTGTCACGCTCCACAAGCAGCTCCTCTCCAAATATCCAACCCTCACCAAGTTCCACGTCAAATTGATGAATCATTTCAGTTTCAACATCCTCCTATGGCTTTGATATGTACTTTAAATGATTTGAAATGTTTTTGCTGCCATAAAAATCACAAAATATACAGTTGCCCTGTCTTTAATAGTAAATCCCCTCAAGAAAGACTTAAAGTTGTACGCGACTTAAAACGCTGCACAAATTGCCTTGGTAATCACTTTGCTAAACACTGCAAGTCTACTAATACTTGTAAGACCTGTTTGAAACTTCATCACACACTCCTACATTTCTTGAAGCCTACTAAGCCTATGACTGATAACAGAAATCACTCCAACCAAGAACAAAAAGAAGCAATAGCAAACTCAAAACCTTCGAAACTGACAGCTGTAACTCCTGGCCATTTTCTTATCAACTCTTCTCTGACAACTGTTCCTGACCCAATAAAGATCTCACCTCTTATTGATAATAATTTACTTCAAGACATCACCCAACACCTATGCTGCCGTTGGAGTCAAGGATATTTTAAGACCCCTCATCAGCGTTTTTTTCAAGTGGAAACTCAAGAAAGAAAAACCTCAATGTGTAGACCCTGTTTGCTAAAACACACTAGCTCCTCCTAGCTACAGACCAGCTGGATCCTCAATCAAGACCATCATTCAAAGTGTCTTCATACCATTAAGCTGAATTCTTTAAATAATTTTTCAACCCACTCTGGTCAATTCTCATACAAATTTTATATTTTTTCAATTTCTCTTTTGTTGAACCTTGTTGGTTCAAAGGGGGCGGTATGTTCAGTCAAGTGTCTTTGTTTTTTGTATTAATTTTATTTGTCTTTGTTTTAACAGTCCATCTGTAATTCCCATCACATTACCATATGTCAATTTTCATTGTTGCATTCATTCGTCTTGAATCACCGCTCATAAAATCACGCACTCATTTTTTCTCGTAATAAATCAACCTCTTTATACCAAAACCCTCGACTTTCCCTCTCTAATATAATTACACCGCACAAGGAGTAAGCAGGTCTGTCTATCCACTTGTCAGCCACTTGTGAAGCTGTGTTTTCAGCGGTTTTCCCTTCAGTGACTTCAGTGATGGTAGGCCCATGTGGACTTTGCGGCCAATGTAGGATGGTTTTCTAGCGTACTGGGTGGTATGATGTAGTGGCAGAATTAAGTTGTTTCCTCGCCTGGTGTTGTAAGTGTGAATATTTGTACTTTTTGGCAGATCAGACTCACTCACCAGAAGGATTAATGCTTTGATGTAGAGATTTACAACAGTCAGAATACCAAGAGATCTGAAAGCTTCCCTGCAGCTGCCTAAGGGTTGGAGGTTGGCGAGTATAAGTACGGCTTTTTTCTGCAGTTTCAATATTCTGTTAAGATTGCTTTCAGTAGTCCCGCCCCAGACAACAAGACCATATTGTATATGCGAGTCCATTAAAGCATGGTACACTTTTTTTGCTGATAATAAATCACCAAACCATCTAACTCTTCTCACCACGTATACACCAGTGCTGAGCTTCTTACAAAGATCATCGATGTGATTGTTCCAGATAAGGCCAGCATCTAGTAGTGTAATTCCTAATAACTTGAAATTTTGTACAGTTTTCACGTCCAATCTGTTAGATGACTGTCAAATATTTTAAGAAATAGATGTTGTGCATACAATCATCAATTTTAAGGTGACCGCAACTAAGATAAGATCAAGAAGACTGTTGTGGATCTTTTTGAACCGAAATAGCATTTACATTTACACCATTGTTTAAATGAAAAAAAATAATTAATAATTAAAAATAATTAATGGGTGAAACTGCCTCACCAATTTCTTTGTTGAGTGGAGTTTTACTGCATACAATTTCTTTGATGCGGATTACAAATTAATATTAAAGATTCAGCAACAGCGTAGATCTATAAAATACTTACTCATTTTTCTTCTTCAATTTCTCTTCACGTTTCTCCTCTAGAAGATTTTCCTTTTGCTCAGTTGGAGCAGAGAAATCCTTCATCTCGATCTCCTTCACTTCTCCATTCCGTACAATATCTATCTCCACAAACGTCTGACTGTTTCTTCTTGCTTTCTAGCACAAACACAACCATCATCTAGTTAGTCTATACATGAAAATGAAATGTTTTATATGAAAGTAAAAAAGGTTGAGTAAATTTTGACAAAATTGGGAGGGCAGAGTAAATGTAAATTGACATAATATATCTTGATGTTATTTTATATCTTTGCTGGTATATAAATAAACAACATTCACAACCACAATCAAAGTAACAGAACACAAATAATTTTACTGCAATATTGTGGTTATTGATGTAAAACTGTGTGATATTCCAGATAACTTGAGTTGACTTCCAACTTTGTTTCAGATTCCTGTTTCTGTACAGTAGTAACATAACTAAACTACTGTTATTACTCTGTAGATAAGCATCTGCAACAAGGTCGAAACGTCAGCTCCGCGTATGACACAGATATACAGCAACACAATTTTTTATTTTATTTATTTTTTTTTAAGAGGTTGGCGGTCTCCTTTAACCTTGCATTTGCCCGTCTACATAGACTAACTGCCCGTGCGTGGAAACTATCCAGCAAAGCAAGGGGTGAGCTTGTACGTTACAAAGGTGAACTGTACTGATAAAATGTTTTCGGCAGTCACCAGGATCCGAACCCACGACATCGCTGCCTTGGGCCTGAAGTCCGTGATGCTACTGACTGAGCCACCGACTCACCTCAATATTGTACACAAGAGTCCCATTTATCTAAGTTAATTGGGACCAGATCCAGTTCAGTTCGTATAACGGTACAGAATTATTCGGATTAGCAGGGAATGCAGAAATCCCATTAAAAAAATTAACACAATGTATTCTAAGGACTAATTAGGGCATACCCCTAGGTTTTGACAACAAAACCACGATCGTCTCTTGCAATTACGGCACTAATTGTGATCATTTCCCTTTCCCGTTATCACCTACTTCAAAAGGACCTTAAAATAATCAACACGCCATGCCGTTCATCAATACACACTCAGCCATAGACTAATGGTGATTTATTCAAAATGTCTTGGTTTCACACAAAACTCAATTATAAGTTAAGATTTCAGTAAAATTTTCATTTTTCTGGTTTCCTAGTCGGCTGGACACTGGTCAGTATTTCAGAAAATATAGTTTATTCTTTAACTTTGTTAGCTGCGGCCCATCAATGGCAGGCCGTCGAACAAACCCGATTGCCGGGCGATTAGCTTTCAAATTTTGGTCCTGACAAATAGCAAATAACGTGCGGTGATGTACTACGTTACGACGAGAGTCAACATAGTTTGCTAAAACACCCACAGATAGCAACACTGCTTGGAACGTAGCCGGTACCATTGTATAGCCAATTGGAGGGAGAAAGACGGGAAAAAAAGTTGTAAAAATGTTTTATTTATTGAACTCTGTTAACGACCTTCGAATGAAGTGATCACTTGACACCTTGAGGCCTGAAGATGGTTCAAAACAAGAACCGAAACTAGTTGCCTAAATCAGCAACAAAGGATTACTATATGCAGGTACTGTAAACCATTTTAAGAAAAAAAAGTTGATTTCTAAGCTTGCCAGACGGGGATTTTACGGGTAAGTTTACTAACAACCGACACCACAACAAAAAGCAAGTCACAAACTACACGCTAACGAGGTGTAGGTCCGCTTTCGACCGACGCTAGGCTCGCACTGAGCAACAGAATAACAGATTGATGCACTCCAGTGAGGGTCACTACTGACCCGGCCGCGTGAAGGCTGCGATTGCCGTGGGTCAGTACTGACCCACCCGCAGCAAATGAGTTAACTTTAAAAAACCCAATAAACTTTTTTTCCAACAAGGGATGTACGGGTCCCAAAATTTCTCGGGACGGGATTACAATTGATTTGGGAATTTTTTGGGACGGGATTTGGTCCGATCGGCAATTTGGCCGCTTCGTGAGTGACGATGACGCCACTATCGCGAGAGATGTTCACGATAGTTCCGCAAACGCAGGAGGCGAAGAAATTTCGACGATCGCGCCGTGACCGCGGAGTCATACCGACAATCCTGCCGTGACCGCGAGTCATATCGACGATCACGCGGTCACCGCAGAGTCATACCGACGATCGCGACGTGACCGTGGAGTCATACTGACGATCGCGCCGTGACCGTGGAGTCATACCGACGATCATCCCGTGACCGCGAGTCATACCGACGATCACCTCGTGACTGCGGTCATTTTGACGATCGCTGTGACCGCGAGTCATTTCGACCGCGAGTCACAAGTTTCAATAGGTACCTGTAGATTGTTACCCATTTTTTGGTTTTTATAGATCAGTGCCACAAACAGTAAAAATTTATTTTGTTTGTCTTTTTTGCTAACCGCAATACTCTTGACTTTTATGCACAGGAAAGGATCCCGTCCCGGTCCATCCTGAAAATTGGGAAGGAAATAAAAATCCCGTCCCATCCCGAACTAAAAATTCAATCCTGTCCATCCCTACCAACAAGTGATTTGGATAATCATGACTCTAGTATACAGTAGTTGTGTATTAAAGTACCTTACAGAACCTAAGTGACTAAGGTGTTACCTTTGTGTTACTGTGTATTAGGCCTACTCATAGTGTTACAAATCATCACACATATTAAACATCACACATACCATCAGAGTCAGTAGATTCTTTCAGCATTGATTCAGCCTCTTTAGTTATCTTTTCTTCTTCTGAAAAAAGGTAGATTAATTTAGTGGTACAGCTTTCTTTTAAAAGATCACAATACAAATTTGTATATTGTAACGTTTATAATGTAGTGGTTATTGGTGTTTTAGCCTATAATTATTTAGAAGTTGCAAATAAGCGTAATTGACACATAAAAACAGATTCAAAAGAAAAGTTAGAGATCTAAAATTACGAAGAAAGATTTTGTAATTTTAGTAACAACCTTGTTATAACCAAACAGGTAACAACTTGTAACAATTTGTTATAACCTTGATATAACAAACCTCGATATAACAAACCTTGATATAACGAACCCCGATATAACAAATTCTTTTATATAAAGAATGTTTTTAAATCCCCTAGAACTCTCCATAAGACACAATATATATTTTACCTCTACATAACGAAGAAACCATATCAACGACCTTGATTTAACAAATTTGTCATGATCCCGGCTAAAATAAGACACCTAATCAATATAACGAATTTATCATTGTCAGAACCTCTACATAGCGAATTTAACCTCTACTTAACAAATCGTCTGCGTCTTTCCCTCAACAAACCCCCCCTCCATTATTGTTTTTTTGACAAATCAGTTTCTTCATCAAATGAAATGGAAAGATGACGTCAACGCTTGCGCTAACATTTGTCTGCTCCATTTTACACATCTCTGTCTGCTGTCGCTGCACGCTATGTGACATACTGAGAACTGATTTCATTCACTGAGGGAGGACTGATAACGACGTAATGTTTAGTAAACTGTGATTGGGTGATAAGTAACTATGGTGACTTGTACAAATTTTGGATGAAGAGAAACCTAAGAAAGAATAGAAGAACAAAAGCAAAGAGAAAGAATAGCAACATCGTTATCTTAACATTCCTTTTACGAGTGTTTTATTATCTTTAAGTTGGCTATGATTATACACTTTTTTAATGAATTATTTAATTACGGTACTTAATGTAATGACTTAATTTAATTACTTGACTTAATTACTTATTATTTACAAAGTATTTCAGTGTTTTATGGGGTTTTTATGCCATGGTTGTATACTGTGGTTTTTTTTTACTATCCGTAGTCTCCCTCCCCCTTTATTAAACCGGATAATCCAGGTTCTACTTTGCAATGTAAACACTGTATTGTAAAGTATTGTAGCCTATGCTACTTAATTGTGTTTTAATGAGGTCATATCCCGACCTATATTGACCGATGCTGGTTCTGAACTTCTGACTTAGCGAAATACCTGCAAACCTAACCTCAATATAACGAACCTCGTTTTAACAAAATCCTTGATATAACGAATATTCAGTTCGGTCCCTTCAGTTTCATTATACCAAGGTTGGACTGTAATGTGGTGATTAGTTTTTGTAACTTGCTTCGAATTAAATAAAAATATAAATTCTAGATAACAATTATAAACCAACTGTGACAGTAGGATCTTGATTATCCAAATGAATTTCAAGAGAAAATTGTGTAAAAAACTACAAAATACATTTATTTGCAGACACAGAGGTTTTACAGCAGGTTCTTGCCTTATACACTGATATCAATTATATTGAATTTACTGTTATTAAGCTCATCAGAATCATGCGTTACATAATATTTATCTCGTAATCTTTCTGACAAAATACACAAGACAGAACATAAACAATAAACAATAAACTACCTGTCAAAGTTTTGCGATGCCACTTGACTGGCTGCAGCAGCAGTCCGCAGACGACACAATGCAGCACTAGTCCAGAGAGCAGCAGAGTCGCACCTCGAGCTCCGTAGTTCTCCATGAGTAGACTGATGACGAGAGGCATGACCACAGGTCCTAGGCCAGTGATAGTCATGGCGATGCCCATAGCCATACCTCTCCGCTTGACAAAGTAGGTGGACAGGGCCAGGTGAAACGATGCCATTGACCAACCGATACCCAATGCTGATAGCAAAACAATAATTGTGTAAAGGTACACGATCACCAAGCAGTACGAAATGTCCATAAGCAATGTTTTTCAAATGGGAGTTACAGCTACACTTGATGTTCTGTAGCATAATCCAAATCATTGAGTGAAAATACCAATATATAAAAATAAAATACATCAGGCTACTTACATAGGCCTACAAATACATAAATAAGTAAACATTTTCCATAGCGCCTTTACGAGTATAGCAAAAACAGTTGACGAAACTTGCAAGACAATAAATATGATGTTTCTAGTATATTTAGCATAACACAACTATATCCTATAACACCAGTACTGCACTGCACAATAAGCATACAATGGAGGATAGCAAGGGATTATTACCAGTAATTTCTTCTTGTCGGAGGTGGGGGTTATTTAATGCATTCCGCATGACATTGAACCATGGTTAAAAGATAAATATTAAAAACCCAAAGCCCTATAACAAATAAACTTTTTACCTATTGACCTAGAGATTTACTATTAGATAATGAGAGCAACATAGCCAATGATGCACTAGAATTTAATTGAATTCAAATTAAATAATGAATATTGAAATTATATCTTGTTTTAAATCAGCAGGCCAAACAAAATATTTTTTTTCTTAAAATGAGACAAAACTCTACCTAGACGATGAGATTGAGATAGCTCCTGGTAAGAGAGAATATTTTATTGGATAAAGCCAGGGGTGCCCAGAGGGGGGGGCTGTGGCGCGTTTGCGCCACAGGAATTTTTGGGGGGGGACTTATTTTGAGATTTTTGGGGGGGATATTTTTTTGCTAGCAGTCATAATGAACGTATAATTTTGTATAAGCAGCCCAAAAAAGTGTTTCTAAGTAGCTCACTATCACCACCAACAACATTTTGCCGTTCGTAATTAAGATAGCTTCTAAGAATGGTAAAAACGGACCTTGCTAGGCAATCCTTAATATACCAGTGTCGAATTTTACTTGCTACATATGTTTTGGTGGTTATTTAACTCCACCATCGTCAGGATTTAAAAAAGATCCACTTCTGGAGGTGTCATCAGAATACGACAAACGTTATTTAATACAAAACACGAAACGATTACAGATAGGCCTTTCAATTCGTACATTGCCGTCGGCAGGACTGGAAGTAGAAGTAAGTATAGTAAACTGAATCAGGTTCAGGTTATGACGGACCGACGTGGTCTCTGGATTGTCGTCTGCGTTTTCAACAGCTGATATTGGACTATTGTAGTGACTGAGAAGAGTATTGAAAATATAATGGGATTTGTAACTAATTGAGTGTTTTCACTAAAAAATTTTGTGCTGTCAATAGTTTTATGTATATTTCAAACTCCTCAAAGTATTTAATAAATTTCCTTTTCTGCAGTAATATAGAATGTCGAGACCATCCAGCATGTAAATTGGTTATTATTATCAATAATTTTAAATGGAAAAATCAATTATGAATCCCATTATATTTTCAACACTCTCCTCCGTCCCTAGAATTAGTCCAATTTCAGCTTTTGATAACACAAACACCAATCCAGAGACCGTCATTACCTGATTCAGTTTACTTCCAGTCCTGCCCGCGGCAATATATATACACGCGTGAATTGATAGGCCTATCTGTTATCGTTTCGTGTTTTGTGTACAAACAGATTGTCTGACAAGATGCGTTTCTACCATTATTAGTCATAACAGGCAATCCTGGGGCTATCAAAATGCATTATAAGATTACTTCGTCACAAAAACCTTTTGTACTGGTGGCAATTATTAAGAGATATTGTGGGTATTTTGCCCGGCGATTTTTGTAGAAGACAGCCTGGGAGTGGTGAGCAACAAGTCTGTCTTATTTCGTGACTCTGCCTATAACTGTGAAACAATAATATACTTTTTGCCAAAGTACTATTAATGCACAAAGCTGTTTGAATTCTTAAGCCCTGTAAAAATTAACGCCACCTAATATATTGTACAGTTACAGTACTGTGTTGGAGTAGAGTAATTCACCTAGTAGGCCTATATTGTGCGTTTTGAAGACGTTGTCTATTGCAATACAAATTCTGAATTGTAAATTAATTGAAAAACTTCTAATTCGTCCATTAGTTAGATTTATATTGATGTATTGTTAAATGACGTTTCATATTAAACATTTAATTTTGATTATCAGCAAGTTTATTTTTCGTACCTGCTCAAGTTTACTAAATACTTTAAATGCTTGTTTTATGAGGTAAAGGGAAAATTGTCGTATAAATTGGTGAGGGGAGGGTAGGTTTAAATAGACGGCAGCATAAATTGGGGGGGGACTACTCCTTTGGCTTGGGGGGGGGGGGATTGCGCCTCTGGGTTTGGGGGGATGGGCACCTCTGGATAAAGCAACAGTAGGATTAAGTGTTTCAAAATAACAATTAAGTTGATATTTAACCACATTTTCCTGGAGTTTTGACATTCTGTATCATAGAGTCAAGCCACTGGAACACGAATCAATTATGTCAAACTTTCTCTAATTGACTAGGTGCCATTTGAATAGCATTGATTTAATATTCATTAACCGATTTTACATGTCAAACACATTTTAGTAAGTACTGGGTACCACAGAACATCCTTTATATATTACCAATATTGCTGTACAATATTCAAAATATTTCTTTAGCTGCAACGTGATTTTTTTTTATTCAGTGCACATTTTCTTTTGTCACCTACAATATTAATATTGACCTAAGATGTGTGGTTATTGATTAAATTTTTCTGTTTTTAATTTGTTGTCCTACCCTGTGAACTATTTGTGTTTTTATCCATCAGTTTTGATTTAGCCAATGTATGTTTTGTTGTTACGGATTAATAGTGATAAGATTATTTATTTTTTATGGTTAATTTAATGCCATGAATCATTGATGATTTATGTAAAGAATTATCTCTGTTCTGATTAGGCTTACACTAGCACAAAATTTCAAAACGTTACATCTAGTTAATAGTAGCCAGTTTATAGATAAGTATTTTTGCTACAATATCCTCTATTGTAAAATATGTGCTGCAGTTGGTTTGAAAGAGGAAATACGATTTATGCTGAAGGTAGTTTTGTAATACATTTTCATTCTATAAACTAACTACACAAGGTTGTTGACAAACAAAAATGAAACTTACAGTTTATAAGTCCGTAGAAGAGAAAGAGAAGAACAAAGCTTTTAGCAAAGCTTGTGACAAACAGACCCACAAACATCATCAAACCTCCAGTCACAGCCACCTTCCTGAACCCGAGGTTGCGAAGAATCGGCCCATTCAGCACCCCTGTAATATGGCACAAGAGAGTTTCAACCAAAGCCTTTGAAAACTTAACATGAAGAGAAATAAATATAGAAAAGTTATGGATATAGAATTTGTAACACAATAACTACCATTTTGGTATTTGTTAACTTTACCTGCACAAAACCTTGTAAAGGATAGTTGGTATTCAAAAGATATTGGAAGCTACAAAGTAAACACATGACGCGTGCAATATGAATGAAAATGTGCATAAAATGAACTTAGGTGAAAAAGCGGCCAAATGATATTCATCGAGGTCCAACAGCTATACTAGAGAGTTTTCAGCATCAGGTGTAAATTAAATATGTTGTGTAATTGCTTAAGACCTCACAGTTTTGATTGGCAACATCAACAATTCATTATTGTTTATTGGCAGTGTAATTGCAAAATGGTAGGTTGAAAAGTCTAAGGGGATTTAGAAAACAACATTTATCAAGTATTTTAATCCATTGAGCATTTGATGGAATGTTAATAAACCTTATGGATTCATTACTTACCAAGAACATATCCAAATGCAGAGTTTGTGTTAATGATGATGCTAGCATCTCTCATGTTTAATGCTGAAGAGCTAAACACATCTCTGTACAGCAATCCAAAGTTTTGTAGAATCGGGATTGTTATAAGCTGAAACAAAGTTATGGCTTTTTAGTATTGAAATGTTGCTGTTTTAGTGTTGAAATTGGCTAAAATAATTGGTTCTTAAAAATAAAATTCTCAATAATATGATAAAATATTAATGAAAGTTATACCATTTAAAGAAATGTCATTTATTTGTTATTAATTACTCCTTACAAATCCATTCTATAACTCTGAAACATTAGGGCAGATTGAAAATTGCTATACAGTAATTATTCCAGATTCCAAAAAAGGGGAAGACCATCATGTCAAAAATTATTGCCCAGTTTCTATTTTTTCTTCAAACTAACAAGTTTTTTTTTAAAAGCCATGGATAAATCAGTTATAGTTATAGAATCAATAGACAAAAAAAAAAGAAAGTGATGCTGGTATTTTGATGGAACTTTATTTGGCTTTTGATAACATTTCACATGAAAGGTTACTACAGGAACTACATTACCGGTACCTATTTATGTTTTTTACTACTTAATAGTGTTTTAGGTTGTATATCACCAATAGGCAGCAGTTAGCAGAATTCAGTCATATAAACAACACTCAAATCCTATCCTCAACACAAAACATAGCGCATGGCACCCCCAAAGGGTCCATTCTTGTACCTTTACATATTATTTTTCATGTTACAAATATGCCAAAATGTCAGAATAAATTTCTTGAAAAGGGTGTTTTATTTACGTAATCTATCAATCATAAGAAGAAATCTGATGCAATCAATCTGGAATATCCAGTCATATATGAAGACTACAAGTATTAAGTAGGCCTACAAAAAAAATGTTCACTCTCATATCCAATCACAATCCCTTTACGCGCAGAATAAGCGTTCTACTAGTATTATAACTGTGAAAGTTTGTGTGTTTGTTTGAACTTCAATAATGCTTTAACTACCGGTTGGATTGGGCCGAAATTTGGTTGGATGATAGCTTACATTCCCGATTAACATATAGACATATTCTTATCTCAAAAATCCTTTCAGGCTCCGCCCCAGTGGCCCTGGAGTTTCCCATTTTAATCTTATGTGTATTCATATCTAAGGCCCGGTTTCCCCAAAATGGTGTAAACTTTGTTTATAAAATAAACTAGTTTATTTTTAAACTCCGTTTAAAATGTGTGTTCAGTTTCCCCAACATTTTACTGGCTTCGTTTAAGATAAACGGAAATTCGAGCGGTTGGCAATCCTGAATGTGTGTTTGTAAGGAATCTTCGGTGGGCTTTGGGCTAGTGTTTCTTACAACGCTCGCTACGCTACGCTGCAACTCAGTAGAGCAGACGAGCAAAGTGCGAATGCTGCTAGAATAACATCACTGTTTAAGGTTACGTTATGTTATAAAATTGATTTTTCTTTTACAACAAGACAAATTCTGTCCATTATTTTAGTAGGCCCTCTTGTTCTTGGTAATAAAGTGTTATAATCTTCATATTCAACTGCTTCGAAAATGTCAATTAACTCTTCCATTTGAGTTAAGGCAAATACTGCAATTAATAGTAGCACAACTTACAAAAAATAAATGTACAAATAAATACCCCCGCCGCAGCAAACCTGCAGACTAAGCGAATTTCCATTTGCCTGATTGGATTTACACTAAAATGTCTCCTTAAAAATATCACATTTATTCCCTATATAAATAGAATCAGTTTAACACATACTTAGGTTTGCTGCAACAGGGATGGTAAAAGTGTTTTGTTATGTAAAATGTTAATAGTTAGTAAGAAATAAAAACATTTTCCGAATTTGGGCAAAATATGTTAATAACAAACAAACTACAACAGATTAAACTTATTCTCCATAAGAATAACATGGGAATTTTAAATTTAAAATTTTTTGGAATTTTCTCCGTAACCATTAGGTGCATTATAACGCTTCAATACACTAAATTATTTGTTTTGTTAAGCTCTACAAAGTAATTTGGAAAGAAATTGCAAAATTTTATGTTTTTTGAGTCAAAAATGGGAAAAACCACTTTTTACCCCATAAAACCCCCGTTCCCCGCGAACTCGTTCAAATAAACCTAGGTTTACACGTTTGTACCAAATTTCATCAAAATCGGATCGTTTTTGCTCGAGTTATCGCGCTAACGGACATATATATATATATATGTACAGCAATGCAGATAGATAGTATTTTTTTCAGTATTTTTATATAGTATAAGCTCACACTATTTATTAAGTACGTTTTGAACAAAATATAAAATAAGCTAAAGATAATTTAAATTTGTATTTTGATTAGCTATAAAATTGCGAAATTATCAAACTTGGATATTTTTTATTTCTATACACACAGTAATGCCTGTTCAAATGCTATTGTATACCAACTTGATGGTTGTAACACTTCAGACAGACATGGTTCAGTTTACATTCTTGTAGTAACAAATACACAAAAATATCACCCCTTATTTTTCATCGGCCTAACTTATATGAGAAAGATGTGATTTTCTTTTTGTTTCTTTCTGCACTTTACAGTTTGAAATATACGTTTCTGAAAGTGTAACTGACAAGTTTTAAGCCATATACCCCGCCTCTATTGTTGCCTAAGGATGAGTAGGCCTATAAACTTAGTTAATTAATAATAAAATGAAGCTGTAAAGGTTTGAAAACCATGAATCGATTAAAAAAAGGGTTTTAACGAAAGGGTAAAATTTTTTTTTTTAATAACATGTAGGCCTATATAACAAAACAAATACTTTTCATGCAAACCAGTGAATAAATTCATTAAACAAGGGCACGATTAAAATTAATGTAAAAAATGTTTGAAGATAGCTGGATTTAAAATTGAACTAAGTTATACACAAACAGTGAAACAGAATGGGCAGTAGTGAAGGGGGGTTTGGTTAAATGAATTTTCTGCTCATCCACAATTTAATGGTGAATGAAGTGACAGCCTTTTAATAACCTTAAAGCAAGCCGATTAATTTCCACTTGATTGTTTTGATGTCCCGTTTCCACATTGACTTGTTTTGTTACTGATAAGTTGTACATTAACAAGGTACACAAATCACACAATAATTTAGCAGTGTGAAGCTTTACATTTTTTATATTTCAAAAACCTAATACAGGTATTCTATTTATTTGCACATTTTAACTCTAAACTGCTTTACAGTCTTATGAGACTGAAGATTTCTACCTTCATTTTGACTAAATTAAGGGCAAACGATTACTTACTGACAAGAGAGGGGATAGTAAGTAAAATATGCAATACAATCGTTAACTTTTCAAATACCAGTTTTTTTAGTTAAATATTTAAATTTGAAACAGAAAACCAATTAAACTCTTTCCTGTTAAATAACAATACATTACTCAAAAAAGGCAAAATTGTGTACACATCATGATCTCGTTACTCATAATGTTAGAACAAAATGTGTATCAAATATCAACTGGGTGAATTTAACATCTCAAGTTCTTTGTCATCTCATTTAGTGTGTTGGAAAGTCTAAATGAGTTATATAAGCTGGAATTAGTCGCAAGTGCTGTACAAATAGAACTTGCAAGCACTGTATATTCTGTGGCAGAAGGCCAGGTTGAAAATAACGTTGTAAACAGTTGAAGCAGAAGGTATCATCCTGTTGTCAAACAAATGCACAAGGAGAAACTAGAGAGGCCAATGAACTGATACTCATATCACCTAGATAAGAGTCAAATAACATTTCTCAAATATTCAAAATAGCTGATCTGCATTATAAAAGCAGATGGATTTCTAGTAAAACTATTCAAACTAGTGTACATGTTGCTCGAAATAGAGCAATCGCAAACAAGTAAAGGAGTTATTTAAAAACAAATAACTTATTTAAGAACAAATATAAGTCATAAATTCCGATGAGTTTAAGAGTCAACTCAAAGATTACGTAACTAATGATAATACTCACAATGTACTTAGTTCATCATAATCAACATTTCTTGTAAATATTTTATCAATTTTCAAAAGCTGATCTGGTTTTTAGTGTATTGTAGAAAATTTTCCAACTTATAGCCGCAATAGGTTGTCCATGTTGGTCTTTGTCAATGATAATGTAGTCTGCATGGTATTACCCATTGTCGGCAGTATGTTTACAAATTTCAGTCTTTATTTTAATAGCACCAAATAACCATTAACTACCTGATTTTCTGCATAACCTCTCTGTCACAATTTTACAATTAACATATGTTCTTCTTCTCGCTTTTAATTTCTGACAACAGCTGGAGTTTCATAACAATGTTTGTTTCCCATGTTAATCTTATGGAGAAATACAAAACATGAAAGGGCCCCAGGGCCTCACTCTCTAATTATTTCCCCTAAAAGAAAGTTTCCTGCTTAACTTCACGTTACGCTCTTTCCAATGACACCAAAAACATGTCAATCAGTTCAGTAGTTTTGGAGGAGTAATTGTCACAAAACATCTGCTTGCGTATTAAATAAGTATAGATAACTATTTGTATCCACTGTAATAGGGGTTTTATTGTGTTATTTATTAATTAACTAAATTATTTATTTTTGTTTTTCAAAGGGGTTCAGTATCCTAAAAAAAATACTTTAATAACCTAAAGTGGGTTCCAGTGATTTTTTTGAAGAAATCCCTAAAATAGGCAGATTAAAAAACAATACCCCCACAGCAGCAAACCTGCAGACTAAGTGAGTTTCAACTTGTCTGATTACATTTTTACTAAAATATTTCCATAAATAATACATTTATTCCCAATTGCTGCTACGGGGAAGGTGAAACGTGTTTTTTGAACATAGGTCAATAGTATAGGATGAAATAAATAAATTTGCCAAATTTTATCAACATATATCCATAAACAAGTAAACTAAAACAAATTTCATTTTCTCCGTAAGAAGTTTGAATAAATGTAGGTTTACACGTTCGTACAAATTTCATCAAAATCTGATAATTTTTGCTCAAGTTATCACGCTAATGGACATATATATATATATATATATATATATATATATATATATATTTATATATATTTATATAATATATATATACATGAATTTGAATGGATGGAGTTTTTGGCCTCTG